CTCCCTCACCGTGAAACAAGAGTCAACGAAATGAAATGATGAATTCCAACTGCATTGGGCGAGAGACAATAATCGATCAAAGTATGATTCACAACATACTTTTCAAATCCAATACCACAAATGAGAAGCAGCGAGAAACAGTTGTCTCTAAAACGTTGAGATGTGTGATGTAATCTCTGGGCCTCGTTCTGCTGACAGATGTTGCATCCGTGCATCTTTGCATTCATGGAACATTTTGACAGTGTTTTTCCCTGACATCCTTTGCTGAGGTCGCTAGAAAAACACACACACAACCAGAACGCGAAACTGCACAATCAACCGGATTGCAGGGAAGCGCTCCATGGTTTTATAATGATGTCTGTCTGTAATGAGGAGGATTAGTGTTGCAAGGCTTTAATATTTTTCTGCTGAATGGGCCTCTTCTTGGTCCCTCGCCTGCTGCTCTTGTGTTTTAGCACGATTCTTCTGAGGAATTAGGAATTAAAAAAAAAGAAAATCTTTCCCTCCACTCAAAAACCTGGATGTCGGCACAATTCTGGCAGTGAGGTTAAACTGCACATTGGGATGGAGAGACGTTGCAGAGTGCACCGTGCGGTGAGTCAGAAGCTTAGACGCCTTCACACAAATACTGTGTGAGATCCTCAATCGATTTTAGTTTTACATCACATGTATTTAGCTGAAATATGGATCCTAATCCCTTTGATTGCATAGTGTTAAATATGACAGGGCAAGACATTTAAGGGCAGGCCCATCTGCGTTCTTTTTAAGAAACGTTACAAATGACATAGCCAGCAAAAAGAAAATCATTAGCAGAACTAGTAGGTCGTGAAAGTAAGCTAATCAATATCAATAAAAGAAGTGAATGCTAGCACTAGCTCAGTCAAAGTCAGTTTTGAAAAGATAGAAATGACTGAAAGGGTTAGTTCCAATTTTCTTAAGAGACGTTGCGATATTCTTCACTGTTTGTGAATTGTTTGGTTTGTAAATGGAGTCTAGTGCCGTTGAAGAGAGCGAAGTAGCGCTTCCAGGCTCTCGTTGCAATGGACTCTTTGGCCGTCAGGTAGAGCAGCTGTAGACGAGGGATGCAACTGTCAGACGGGCCGCCTAACAAACTTAAACTGTGAACTATATTTAGGTTGTATCTCTTCACCTCGTCATGACCGCACTTTCTAATAGGGAACGGCAACACGGAGGTTCCTAGTCTTCTGACACATTATTATTAATAAATATTGTGTTGTTTTGTGATTGTGCAACTCCAGATGTGACCTGAACAGGTCCATAGCATTACACGGTGCCGCCAGCGTGCTGGAAAATATATTAACAAGGGCGAATGGCTTCCTGACGCTGCACATAGATGCATACATATGATTGGGAAGACACACCTTAAGGTAGGTCTCCAAAGCAACTTTTTCTCTTCTTTGCACTCTTTTTCTATTATCACAAAGATATACAACAGTAAAAGCAGAATATGCTCAATCCAATGGAAAGAAGACGGAGCAGACGGAGTCACCACTGATTTAAAAACCCCAACTTCCACACTCCTGTCAGTTCTTATTCTCATCATCTTTACTGGCTCACTTGGCAGGTTTCAGGCCAATCCTTCCGGGGCCGAATATGCAGTCTACGTTTCTACGGTTCTGTGGACGAACCTTGCTCGTCCCAGCAGACGTTGGTTACACACATAAATCCAAAAGAACCTATTCCCCCGAAGCACTAGTGACTTGTGCACACAACGTTTTGTTGTGAGATCGCTGCACAGCTGCTCCAAACTCAAGAAAAACATAAGAAGACCGGAGACCAGAGGTCAGACTGTTCCACATAATGTTCCTGAATAGCGCAAATGACATCAATATTAGTAGCTATTGATTCATAGTTGAACAGTACTTTGTGGAAGTACCCCATCGGGCCCCTGCAGACAGAGGTGATGGGCTTTGGCCTCAAAGAACTTTACTCTACGTGCCGGATCACGTAGCTTCATCTGATCAGATATCAAAATGAATAGAATACACATGAAATGATACAATTTGTCACAGTGATAGACGCAACTTTTTAGAGCAAAATAAAGGGAAGTGGATGGATTGTCTGCAGGAGGCAGAAGTCTGTTAGGAGCCGTAAAAAGAACTTTCTTGGCCATTTCTCTCACTGCTCGCTGAAGCAGAGGCCCGTTGGATCACCCCTTTAGGAAATGCTCGGACTTCAGCTGAATTGTGGACCCACTCTCATTGGCAACATCTGGTTTTGGAGAGGAGGAGTGCCTTATATTGGTAGATTATACATAAAAGCTTGCAGATGCCACTGCTGCGCTGGTTTTCGGCTCCTCAGCTCTCAGCAGCCAGCAGCTGCATTGGCTTCGGTCCACTCACCGGACCGCCAGCGACCCACCACTTAAAAAACATGGCCTTCAGGATCCGGGTTCAATTCCCAAGTGGGGGAAACAAATAAAAAAAATGCATCTGTGGAGGGGAAGTAAATCAGATCTGTCTGCCACTCCGCCACTGACAGCTGCTACTGTGATGTCTCTGAGGCGTTTAAGCTCCAGGTGCCAGTGGCGGGTTTCCAATATTCACAGCTCCAGTTGTCAATATCTGGCCAAAAGTTTGAAAAAAAGAGTTATACCCAAGCCGGGGGAAAGGGTGTCTGTAAATAACAAAGGTGTTCAAGCCTTTGGGACAAACAAGTCTAGAAAAAACAGTTTTTTTGCACTTGGAGAGCAATACGTTACGTCTTGGTCTCTTTAGGGGGGTTTAGGTTATTCAGCCAAGGAGACAAAAGACTGTAGTCTAGTGGACTGAAGGCTCAGGCAGAGATTTTTCAATTCTGGCAGATATCCTCTAACCTGCATCACCCGCGTGGATGGGATTTTATAGTGACTTCATTTCTGTTCTCTGGTCTCAGTTCATAATAAAACAGTAGACTCATTTAATGTATGTCCAAAAACAGAAAGCAAAAAGGTTGTCACTTTATTGTTTATGAAGAATGGGAAAAATCGAGCGGGGCATGTGGGCACAACACTTTAGTTTAGACGCTCTAACTTTAATGTACTTAAGGAAGATCACCACGGTAACCAAATGAATCCCCTATACAGTCCTTATGAAGATGGTCTCTACATGGCTCCCTGACAGTCCACAGTATATACACACAGGATGTCGCGTCTGTTTGTGTGTGTCACATGCACCCACCAGGCCCCCGAACCCCTCTGCACCCACGCCGACAACAAAAGTTGCTGCATGTAGCTCCCCCTTAGTCCCCGGAATACTGGGAAAAGGCGGCTTGAGCCACCGTTTCAGGTATTTCACCGTCCATCCATTTTCTGCTTCTTTAATTCTAACTGAGTGCCTCCATCGCAGCTGCCGGAGGAACTGCGATGGACGAGGGGAAGCAGTTGTAAACCCGTTAATGGGGCTCTGGGGGAAGGAATCCTCCGATTCTTCATGGGACGAATTGATTCCTCTACTAATGTCAGGGATGTAAGCAGAAGAGCCTGCCTAGTGGTAGAAATTATAATGTGTGATGATTAGTAGTTTGTGCGTTATATGATATTTATTACATTAGTATGTTAGATTATTAACTGCAATATGAAATAAACAATTTATAGACATTAAAGCCATTTAATCACTGTATGTATAACATCCTTCCACAATATAACGTTAACGCTTGGGGGAGTTAAACGTAATGGTTAAATAAGATTAGATAGTAGATAATATCAATATAATTGATGTAGGTTGTAGGTTGCTTTAGACTTGGACGGCAAATCCCCTATTTCTCAAAATATCATTCCATTCACAAGGCCTTTCACTTTGTAACTTTATTACTTCTGTTAGTTATTCAATTTTTTTTGATTTTTAAACTCAAACCAGTTGACTCTTTTTAACAGCAATCCTCTTTGAGGAGTCGAGAACTTATCACACACACTAGGACCAAATACACGATGCAGAGAGTGGTGCATAGTGAGCTCTACATGTAACGAACACAGCTCTGAAGAAAGGGGCCCAGCGACACAGTCCTCGCCCAGCGCGCGCCACAGAGCTAAACAGCCTTAGACGCTTTTAATGGAATGAGGGCCGATGCCAGGGCAAAACCGACGCTGCATAAACACTTAGTCAACTCTAGTTAAAGTGAGGGGCAATCATCTACCAGAGACGACAATCAGCGGTTAAGCGGCCCGTCATCTCGTTAAAAACAGAGCACGGGGGGAATGACACCGCCAGCACCGCTCGGCCACATTACACCGATTATTAGTCAGTCATCGCCATCCTACTGAATAATAAATAAATCATGCTTTGAGACCAGAGTGGTTACGATTGGCTGCTCGGAGTTAAATCAAGAACCCCAAGTGGCAAGTTTATTTTTGGGAGAGAAATTTGTAGGTTACATTAAGTAAGCGTGCATGGCAGGCGGGGGAAGAACAATTCAGATCATTTACTTGGAGAAAAGTACAAATATAGAAATGTAGATTAAAAAATTACCTACTACAAAACTTACATGCACTCAAACTAATAAGTTCTCAGTTTGCCGGAAAATGGCCCATGTAGGTATTCCGGTGGGCTGTATTAGTGGATTGTTAATACTGATACCTCAAATGTATTCTAACAGTGTGGCTGCTCAAGGTGAAACTGATTTGAACTACTTTACATAGTTCGGTAACTTTGCCCAGTTGTTTTCCACTTAGCCGCCAAAGGGCACCAATGACTCTAAAGTCCTTCAACTTTTGCTTTTTTTGTCTCTTTGGTGGAACAATAACAACTCATACATCTATAATACGACAAGAAGATGCTGGTTTCTATCAAACCACAACATAAAAGGATTGCCTGCATAGTGTCTTGGATATTCCCCTTACGTATTTTATTATCTAAATGTGTAGTAATAGCTGTCAAACAAGTGCGACAGAGTAAATGTCTGAAATGTAGTAGTAGCAGTAGTACCCTCAGACGTTCCTACAAAAGATTATCTGTCAGTGCGTTAACGATGGATAGTGTTGAATATCAAAGAGTAACACTCACCATTTGCGACTGACTCCTGGGGCTGCCATTGATATCCTCCACCTTCTCATTGGCTGCGGGACGGAGGGAATGAAAGAAACAAGATGTTTACCACCGTCCTGTTTAACAAACTTCAACTTTGCCACGTCCAGTGACTTTGAGTTTAGGGGCACAAATCCAGCAGGAAACCTTTGCTGAGGTTATGTAGGAGCATGTGTGTGTGTCGAGGTGCAGAGCAACGCAGGAAAAGGTCTGGGAGGCAAAGCTGCCTAATTCGTCAGCTGCCGCAGGAGAATTACTGACAGGCCCGCTTGGCCTCATTGTCTGTTAGGGGGTGAGCAGGGAGGGTAAAGTTTCAATCCAACGTAGAGCGAGAAGAGAGAGAGAAAGAGAGAGAGAGAGAGAGAGAGAGAGAGATGGGGGTAAATGGAGGCGAGAGAGAGAGAGAGGGAGGAGGGAAAGAAAGAGAGAGAGGAGACGTTGGAGAGGACAAGAGAGCAGGGAGACGGGTTGAAAATGCAGATTACAGGAGACAGACAGCATCTGTGAGAAAGGCAGCATATTTTACGGTGTGTATGTGAGAGTTAGAGTGTGATAAACACAGGGAGAAACTCGAGCAAAGGCAGTGGACGTAAGAAGGAAAATAATGTACGACAACTGGTGCAGAGTTGCTTCAAAATGATTTGTCTCGCTGTGAGTAAAGATGCAGATTACACCACAAGGTGTATTGCTGTTACAAAGTGTTACCGTATAAGGTTGGTGAAATAAGCGCTGACCAAAGCTACTGTTTGATTTCCTACGTTTTGCTCCCTCTTGGATATCAGTCTGGTCCAAGTGGAGTGCGTTGATTTCTTTGTGGAACGTGATGTTGCGTCGTCTCTCCTCCTCCACAGGGAGATATTGTAACCATTGACCCGTCAACAACAGTCATAATTTGCAAAAACGCATTTGGCTCCTCACAGAGTTGGTTTAAAGCGTTTTTACCAAATATGACAGAGGTATGGTCCTTTCTCAACCCCTCCACCTGTCGCATCACGCTAACGTGCTCCCGAGGCAACACCATCAATTGGCCCCTTTCCGTCGGTCGGAGATTAGTAACTGCAAGCCATCGAGCGTATGTGTGTGTGTGACTGGGTTCCTCTAACAGACAGGGAGTATCATCAGCAGAGGCAGTGTTTTATTGTTAGTGCTTTATTACTGCTGAAAACACACTGATTTGTTAATATCAACATTGAAACCTGAAGAAATCAGTAAGACAAGAGAGGGGCGATAGAATGAAAGATATGACAGCAGATGATAGAGAAAAGACAGGTGTGTGTGTGTGTGTGTGTGTGTGTGTGTGTGTGTGAGAGAGAGCTACCTATGATCTGGATGATCTGTGCCAGCAGGACTCCATCGGTGACGTCCTGGCTCAAGTCCTTGATGAGGCGCTGACAGCCAGACCTGGCCAGGTAGTGGTTGGCCCAGTCTGTGTAGATCTGCAACCATAAAACAAGACGTTTTGTCAATGTTTGCGTGAAAAATAGATACAGAGACGAGTACTGTGTGTGTGTGTGTGTGACAAAGTTCTAAAGCTTCAACAATTGGCAGAGATGCCGCTCACTTGCTTTTTGCCGCTGGATGCTGTAAAGGAAGGAAAGGCCAATCTTTGCCACTGAAGCTTACAGACTTAAACATTAACATGGATGAATGAGATGGGTGTCACTGTGGCAGTCTGCTGGCAGTAGAAAACACAAAAACAGATGGGTGGACATTGATAAAGCAGAAGAGGAACAAGCTTCAAAAGGGGAACCTTCCTCTAAACGATTGATTATTCTATCCTGATGTCTTAATGGGGAGGTTTGCTGAAACAGGGGCGTCGTCTTTCCCCCGGTGGGCTTGTACATTCATGTTCGGACGATCTTTCGTACTGTCATCCAACCTCTCAGCGGCCTATTTGTCCGTCAGCGGAGCCCATGCGATGGACCTCAACAGCTGCTGTGGCTTCCCCGGGCTCCAGAAGATGTGAACCACATCTGGCCCCGCGTGGGCTTGAGGGTCAAAGACTCTGCCACGTCCTCTGTCCCGGCTCCGCTGGCTCAAGCACACCGAAGCAGATTCATTGGCCTGAAAACTCAACCCGATGTGGTGTTTTCCCTCAAATGGCCTTCCTTCCAGACCCCTCTGAATAAGAAGCAGGAACCCCCCTCATGATTCTCCCCTCGTTTGCCTCACGCGGCCGTGATTAAAAAGCGCTCTTTTTCTATTTCTTGGAAGAGCTCCTTTGAGCTCTTAAGACTTTTTATCTGATGTGGCTTCCATCGGCCACGTTCTCTAAGACGGCACACAAATAAACACACACTAAGGGATTCCACACACACACACACACATGAAAAAACACACACTGGAAATGCAGACCGTATCACGGCAAGTAAACAAACAGGATGGAGAAAGTGGGGAGGAATTGAGAGTACCAAGAGGCTGGAGAGCAAGGTCATGGGACGGGGGGTGAAGAGGGGGTTTCCATCTGCTTTGTTGTTTGAGCAGCCACCCCCAGCTGCCCTGCGTCCCTCTCTAGAGGGTGCCAGGGTGAGGCTGAAATCAACCGAGTCGGGTTGACCTCCAAATGTAGCACTAAAGTTCATAAAACCTCCAGGATGGCGACTGAAAGGGAATGCTAGGAAATTGCGCTTCTGAAATATCAAAATAAAGATTTTGCACTTTCCCATATTGGAAAACTCCTCAGCTCTCTGGGAAAAACAGAAAGGGCTTTTGATCAGTTCGGAGGAGGAGGTGGGGAGCGGGCCTGATAACCTGACAGATGAATCCAAGCTGGACAAATTTGTGGTTCAAATAACCAGCTGCCGCTGCATCTGCTGCAGCTCCTGGGGGGACCTGACTCCAATAAACACACATCTCCAGGCTTTGTCCTGCCGAGAGGGAGACAACGCTAGCTTCACAGAAAAGGACAATCACAGGAAAGTCAACTGAAGACACTTTAGAAGAGGGCAGCTTGAAAAAAGAAAAAAAGAGATCACACGATGAAGAACGTTAAGGCACGAGGGTGAAAGTGTAATGTCTTACCTCTAACCCTGACCTGGGACCTTTTGCCCCCCCCACCATCCCTCTCTGGTACCCTCCTCTCCCTCAGCTGCCTCAGACATCAGAAGCAACCCTTCCAATTTCAGCCTCCTACACCCGTTGACCTGCCTCTTCTCTCTCTCACTCTATCTCTCTCCCCCAGTCTCAGTGGGAGTGGGGGCACAGCCGGCGCTACCACAGACACTAAACATCAGCTTCAGCGGCAAACTCCAGCTGGGATGACTGAGGCACCTGACACCACGGAGACGCACATGCTGGATGAGACAACATGCAAATATAATCCGTACAAATATAAACAATCTAGCAGCTGATCATATACAAGCAAGCCAGCGCTTTCACTTGCCCACCCGTTCTGTCTTTCTGCAGAAAGCATCAATCAGCAGAAGTGGGGTCAGTTGACATTATCCTTACTGATGAAGCATCCTCTCCTTTCCTCCTCTGTGCAGATCCCCCCCATCCCTTCCGGCCCCTCTCAGCGCCGCTCACACCGGAGCCGATAAACCGCCTCCAACAGTACTGATCACAATGCAGTGAATACAGCTACGCAGGTGCTATTCGCAGAGGCTGCAGTGGCGCCGTTGAGCCTTTGGGGGGAGCCAGGTAAAGAGGGAAGAGAGAGAGAGGGAGAGAGAGAGAGAGAGAGAGAGAGAGAGGGAGGGGAGGAGGAAGTCAAAAGAACCCCCTGTGTGTGTCAATGTGCCCCCACTCATAGGCTCTTTAATCAGCGCAGTCTCCCAAATTAAGAGCCTAGATGGTTTCAAGGGGTTTGAGCGTGCACACAATCGCTCAGAGGACGATTAGTTGTGCAATTCTGTTTTCAACAACCATGCGAGACATCAGGCATGAAAGTCACCCAGATGTGGCACGGCGGGGCGCCGCTCGGGTCCGAAAGGTAATTAAAGACGTCATAAAACTCAAACAAGTGATGGGCCAGATCGATGCCTGATTCTCCTCCTCCTCCTCAGATCTCTGCCCGGAGAAACGTTCCTCCTCCGGTCGATGGCAGTGAAATCCGCAAATCAAACTATTTGAAGGTCACACAACTGCCAGTGTGTCTCACCACGTTGTGGGAGCACCTGGAAGCCATTTCCCCTGCATAGGGGTAGTGTCTGACGCATCTCCGCTCCCTTTAGAAACCATCATTATCTTGTCCTCGCAGTGGGGAAACGAGTTTTCCTTTCAAACCCACCTAATCCTGAGCTAATGGCGGCAGGCAGCTTTCCAACGTGGCCCCACTCCAATTTCAGTTTCAGGAGTTTACACAGGTCGATATACAAATCACACACTCAAAGTTTCCCTTTGAGGACTGGCGCCGGCGAGGAGGGATAAAGAGCAAGAACACGTGACAGCGTTATCGGCAACAGTTTTTAAAACCTTTTTTTTCAAAATCTGTTCATGGCGATGGACTACAAATCCGGAGGGAGTGGGATGGGCGGTAGTTGTAAACTGTTTAGTGTTTGGCAACGGATCTGTCCTGTTGTGTTTACGGCCGCAATGAAGGACACTGTGATAAAACACAACAAATGCAACTAAGAGATGGAACGTAGAATGAATGAATGCGACTAAATCGCGGCTTAGGAACACACGCCCATTGACTCAGATTCCGCTTTCCAGAAAGCTCCTTTGACTCCTGAGCCAAAGTCTTACTCACTATTTCCTGAGAGCCTATTAAGTATTTGTTTGGACTATTCCTTTCAAGGAAAATTGATTATATATGCCTTCAAGATCCCGCTGCCTGCATTTGTACCAGTGAAACGTCATGGAGCAGCTCCGGGCAGGCAGGTGCCTTGCCCGTGGGCCCCGTAGGAGCTGTTCCGAGCTATTGTGTAGGATTTAAACCAACATCGTCTGGCTTCCGCTCGGTTCTCAGGCCGCATGACGCCACTGGGATCAGCAGACAGCAGCAGAAAGAGAGTCTCGTACTGCTATAAAGTGACCCACTCGCTCACTGTCTGCTCTGCCAAGCCAACGCGTCCTCTCAGGGGAAATCCCTTTGCAGAAAATGACATAATTGCACGTCGGGGAGAAGTTTGGACAGCCCAGCCGCATTGGACGTGCTCGCAGGCGTCAGTCAGTCAGTGCAAGAAACCCGAAGGCCGAAGAGAGGGAGAGAGAAAAGAATAAATGACAGCTCCAAAACAGTTAGAAGACGTACGAGCAGAAGACTGCTTGGAGACAGACGGCAATCAGAGACAGATGCTTTTGTTAACTAATTGGATAAACCGTCAGTGGTCGCAAGAGGTTGGCCACAGCAGCAACGTGTTTTAGGCAGCACACAGAAACTACTACATGTAGTGGCTTTCTATCATTTTATTACAGTAGTAAAAAGAACAACGTGATTGACTGTGAACATTTTCATTGATGCATCAGCTCCCGGCGTAATGAATGAAAGCGTACAACGCTTGGTAGGGAGCAGGGTAGGGAACAGGGTAGGGAGCAGGGTAGGGAACAGGGTAGGGAACAGGGTAGGGAACATATAAAGGAAGACAATGCAATGCCAGAGATTAGGGCTGTGAGAATACGCTGTAAAATATACATAGTCTGGTCCTGTTAAATACCTCTGACACGCACACAGCATTTCTAGCATTAATAAATCAAAATCTTTACGCTTTAAACCAAAAAAAATGGATTGACAGCTCCTCAGCTCTGATAGTCGGTTTTCTCCAGGCAGCATGGAATCTCGTAATAGACATTTGCAACACTAAGGGAAGTCAGACAAAGAAGTCAGACAGTTTGAGCAAATACAATAAAATGTTATTTTAATCAAAGTTAGACTGTGACTTTAAATACAGTATCTCATAAAATATAAATCTTCTGATACGGAAGTAAATGAGTTTGTAATTCATATTTTTAATCTCCTACTGTGCTCTAAATAAAGACGTGTAATACATATTTCATGAATTGTATTGAGTATTTTTAATAATTTAAAAATCCTCTCTCCAGGATTTTATCAGCAAGATAAAATATATTTAAAATCCCATAAACCACGGCAGTGTGTTCAAGAGATCATTTTCTTCCACACAGAACAAACACGAGGACTGCAGCAGTCACACACACACAGCAGCATCTCACCTCACCATGGTAACCACAGTAGCTCGCTGTGGCCTGTGAGTCAGACGCTGCCACCACGAAAGCTAGTGCGGCGCACACACCCTAATACACACATGCTCACACACTGGCAGCCACACGCTATACTCACAATCCTCTTAAAGACAAAATTTTAAAAGAGAAAATAACTAGAATAATATGATATAATAATATACTAATAATAATAATAATAAAGAGAGAAAAAGAAAGACACTAACTAATATTATATTTGTGTGCCATTCAAATGACGAGAGAAGCCTGTGGAGGGCTACGTGCTAATTAGCCGCTAGCCAACCAGATGGGCTCCTTC